CACACACACACACACACACACACACACATATACACATACATACACGCACTTTGACCCCCTCCTTTTCCCTTCACCCAGCCCGCGCACACAAACTTTCTTAATCAGAACACAGGAATTAACTATCGATTTCCTTCTTGAATGAGTAATTTTCCCACTCTAATTTATTCCAGATCTTCCCGTGTTTCCAGGGCGGCGTCCGAGACGACTCATTATAGCCTAACAAGCCTTCATCTCTACATTTCAGGACCAACGACACGCGGACACCTTATCCCCCGTGCCTCATTATAAGCGTCCTGCGATAGAAAACATTCCCCCCACCACCAGTTTTAATCCAGTATTGGGTCTTTGTATCCTCTGAGCGAAGGGCGTAGTTTAACGGGTGGTTTGTGTATTCCTGAGGAAAACGGACAATATTATGGACTCTCGAAAATATCAAGCACCCAAGAATAATTGAATTCCATAAATGCACATTAATATTTTTTCTCTCAATTATATTTAATTAGTGCATTAATTTAAATATGGTTAGGATGCAAATACAAAACTTAAGATGAAAGTTCAGAGGTTATGAAACTCCTGCTTGGAGGGCGGATGGAAACAGGATGAAAGCGTTCCCTCTCCGGATGTTGATGCTAGGGGCATGGAAATAACTTTCGAGCTCTAATTGTTTTGATGGGCTTGGAATCCAACTCTCCGAGAGAACCTAATGACCTTTATAACACTTGTGTTCATGACAGAAGATACTCAGAACGATATAAAGATGTATAACATTTTAAAATGTCTAACAACCTTACCGTATGGAAACATAACGCTGATTATTTCACTTCCGCCGGGAAAACTACGGGTTGGATTATGTGAACAATCAACAGAGGGTTTGCGGCTCTAGTGATTCTACTCTACGCATCAGTTTTTGCTGCCCCGTTTGGAATACTGCTCTTCTTGGGTATCTCACCGCCCCTTTCAGGGCAGGCGAGATATCTAAGATATAAGGCACATATCAATCTCATATTGTTCGAAGAGTCAGTCTCCGTGGTGTAGTGGTAAGACACTCGCCTGGCGTTCCGCGAGCGCTTTGTCATGGGTTCGTATCCTGGCCGGGGAGGATTTACTGGGCGCAAATCCTTAACTGTAGCCTCTGTTTAACTCAACAGTAAAATGGGTACTTGGTTGTGGAAACGATTCTACGCGGCGGGGATCGTATTCCAGGGACCTGCCCGAAACGCTACGCGTACTAGTGGCTGTACAAGAATGTAACAACTCTTGTATATATCTCAAAAAAAAAGGGTGTAAGACACTCCAACCACTGGGACCGTCTCTAACCTCTCAGAATAGCTGCGAGGACTAAATGGTCTTGCGGGTCAAACTATTTAACTTGTTTAAACTATTGTTCACTTGCCACTGCCAGCAACAACCTTACTGAACATGTCAAAACCAGAAAAGACGGTAATCAGGGCGGGCTTTGGGAGCTGAACATGCCTCGAAAACGGTCTCGGGAAAATTATCGCGTCAATTAATGTGGATATTCTCTCTCTCTCTCTCTCTCTCTCTCTTCTACATTATCACTAATAACACTATAACAACATTTTACACTTATCTTCTAATCATCGTTTATAAACTAATAACACGAACCAAAAAAGAATAAGGACACAAAAATATATAAAATTTATTTGGGGTTTAAGAATAAGTATTATGAAAAGATTATTATTTTTATTTTGGCATTATCAGCGCACACCATTTTACGTTGACGATGACAAAAAAATCGTGATGATAATTGAGAATGGAATCAAAATAATATGTGGTGAACTTTTTTTCCATGGTCACTGTAGCACAGTGTTATGTTGCATTCTGTTATTTGATGCCAATGCCAGTCCGCCCATGCTAGGCATGTACCCAACAGCAATTACTTGGTAAAATTGGGTGACATTAGCCTCAATCGTCTAGTTTTTCGTTTTTCAACACATTATCAAGGAGTAGTTGTATTCCTTGAAAATGTGTTTAAACACGAAAACGTTCGGAATTTTCGTTTCATTTTCCCAAGGGAATTCGTAGATATATGTGTGTGTGTGTGTGTACAGTGTCAGACCATGGAGGAAGAATTGAAACAGGTATTTCCTTAACTAATTTCGTATTTAATAATACATCTTCAGAAGGATGTATTATTAAATACATCCTTCTGAAGATGTATTATTAAATACGAAAATACTTGAGGTGATAAGAGGGAGGCAGACTCCATTCAGTTTCAGATGTAAATATGACTGACTCCATTCAGTTTCAGATGTAAATATGATAATTGATTGACAGATGAGAGACCGGTCGAAAGAGCAGAGCTCAACCCCTACAAGCACAACTAGGTGAATACAACAAGCTGAATACACACACACACACACACACACACACACACACACACACACACACACACACACACACACACACACACACACACACACACACACACACACACACACTCATACACATACATATACACATGTATACTGTGCATAGTAACTTATCAAGAACTAATTTTTTTGTTTTGTTTTTCAGGTAAACGATGCTCAACACGCCGTATATAAAAATAATTATGGATCCATTTTATTTCCTCCCCTAAGATGAGAATGTTGCCTGTCGAAAGTACGGTACATTGAGTAGGTAAGTAATTGGAACTGTGAAATGTTTAGTAGTTAAACAAGTGAATTAGTGCAGTGTTTCGTAGGTGAACAAGTGGAACTGTAGTGTTTAGTAGATGAACTAGTGGGACAATGTAAAGTTTAGTAGTTGAACAAAGGGTAATGTTCACTAGTCGAACAAGTTAAATAGTGTAATTTAGTTTAGTAGTTGAGCAAGTGGAATACTGTATTTTTTTAGAAAACTAGAACGGTGAAATGTTTACTAGTTGAACAAGTGAAGCCGTGTAATGTTTAGTAGTTTAGGAAGTGGAATAGGTTGATGTTCAGTAGGTTAGGAAGTGGAATAGGGTGATGTTCAGTAGGTTAGGAAGTGGAAAAGGGTGATGTTTAGTAGTTTAGGAAGTGGAAAAGGGTGATGTTCAGTAGTTAGGAAGTGGAATAGGGTAATGTTCAGTAGGTTAGGAAGTGGAATAGGGTGATGTTCAGTAGGTTAGGAAGTGGAAAAGGGTGATGTTTAGTAGGTTAGGAAGTGGAATAGGGTGATGTTCAGTAGGTTAGGAAGTGGAAAAGGGTGATGTTTAGTAGTTTAGGAAGTGGAAAAGGGTGATGTTCAGTAGTTAGGAAGTGGAATAGGGTAATGTTCAGTAGGTTAGGAAGTGGAATAGGGTGATGTTCAGTAGGTTAGGAAGTGGAATAGGGTGATGTTCAGTAGGTTAGGAAGTGGAATAGGGTGATGTTCAGTAGGTTAGGAAGTGGAATAGGGTGATGTTCAGTAGGTTAGGAAGTGGAAAAGGGTGATGTTTAGTAGGTTAGGAAGTGGAAAAGGGTGATGTTCAATAGGTTAGGAAGGTAAGGTAACTATCAGGGGAAAGCGCCAAGCTATTAACTATATAGCACTGGAAAGGGGTCAGGATAAGGATTAGGGATGGGAGGAGGGGAAGGAATGGTGCCTAACCACTTGGACGGTCGGGGATTGAACGCCGACCTGCAGGAAACGAGGCCGTAGCTTTACCGTCCAGCCCAAGTTGTTGGACTAGTAAGTTAGGAAGTGGAATAGGGTAATGTTTAGTAGTTTAGGAAGTGGAATGTGTAATGATTACTAGTTGAATTAAGGAAATGATGAAATATATGGGAGTTGATCAAGTGGAAAACTGCAATGTTTACTAGTTGAATAAGTGGAACATTAATGTTATTAGCTGATCAAGTGGTACAGTGTAATGTTTAGTAGTCAACTATTTGAATAGTGTAATATTTATTAGTTGAGCAAGTAGAACAATCTAATGTTTAGTAGTTGACCAAGTGGAACTGTATTCTTTAGTAATTGAACAAGTGGACCAGTGCAATGTTTAATAGTTGAGAAAATGGAACAGCAATGTTATTAGCTGAACGAGTGGAACAGTGTAATGTTTGGTAGCTGAGCAAATGGAACAGTGTAATGTTCAATTGTGGTTCAACCAATAGGCCGAGATATCCCACCCACCTCGGGAAGCTGGTGTACCAAGGAATGTTACCAGGGAGACAAATCTGGTTTTAATGTGAAAGCATCATGGAACTTGGGGTTATTGCAGTCAAAATAATCCGAAAATAGTAAATATTCAGTTGAAGCTTGAATATTCAGCAGAGGAAGAGTATTTATTGAATGACTAGATATTGGTGAAGCCAAAATTTACAGTTTCGCTGGTTTCAAGCTGAAAGGTTCTTTTAGGCTTCTTAATGGATGGCAAAATTAGTGGAAAGTTAAAGTGAATGGTGTGGTTAAAGGTGAAGAAAAGGATAGGCCTAAAAGAAAACTTTACAGTTTAGAGACTTCAGAATTATGCTGAATGGTAAGGCCTATTCTGAGGCAGCGAATTAAACCAAGGGTGGAAGTTAAGACAAGGAAGATGTATTTAAATCCCAGGAGGGAAATGTTTAAAGGTTTTGGCCACAGGTAGATGGTGTCTAGTGCCCGTCTCTGGGCGACCTTTATGTCCTCTCACTTACTGCACCACAACTAACCACATTACAGTTCCCGGGTTTGAGTAAAAATTAAAGCACCGTTATATTACCGGTGTTTGGGACCAATAAGGATAAACTTCCTTAAGTCATACGACCTCTGACGCTTCGGCCAGGTTAAGCAAAAATCACTTACTATTTCAGAAGCTTCAAATTTTAAAGACAAGCTGGTTATTGTGTACCACAACTCATATGTGACCTCTGTTCTTTCTCTTTCTTAGAGAGCCTTCTTAATCAGCTGACAAAATTTAACACACTAATTTGAAAGAATTACCTACGGAAAGAAAGGTCCGGTTGTTCCATATACGTAAATATGCGTTGTGTAGAGTGAAGATCCAACAGAGCTACCCATCGCATGAACAATACCAAGAACAATCTTTTATATTATGCTGATGATCTAGCTTCACCAACTATGGACAAAATGTATAGATATAATGTAGAAGATATAAAGGCGAAAGCCGGCCTCACGGAGAGTTCTAGCTAATGTAAATTCTGTTATTACTCTAGACACGTATGATGTAGTTTGGGAAAGGCACTACCGGGGAGGTAATTATTGTACAATGCCAATTTTATAATGGGTTAATATGGTCAAAATTCACGATCATGTTCGAGAGAATATGCAGTTGTTTCAGTGCCTCTTGTGTGTATGGTTGTGACTTAGGGGAACTGTTATTGCGTCACCGTGAAACTCTGCATCGCGGTGACGCAGAGCATCGCAGTGACGCAGAGTTCCATGGTGGTGCTCTGCGTCACCGTGGAGCTCTGCATCTTGGTAACGCAGAGCATCGCGGTGACGCAGAGCATCGCGGTGACGCAGAGCATCGCGGTGACGCAGAGCATGACGGTGACGCAGAGTTCCCTGGTGATGCTCTGCGTCACGGTGGAGCTGTGAAACAGGGTGGATGCCGTGGGCTTTACGCCTGGATGAAGGTAATGCGGGCGGGAGAGTGCACCGATGTCTCCTGGCGTTAGTGATGGGGGGAAGGAATAGGTAAAACGGTTGAGTGGAAGGGATAGGAAGAAGGATAAATGTTAAGATTGGAAATTAGAGGGAGGTATTGGAGGAGGATTGGGGAGATGAGGAGAGAGCGAGAATTTGGAATGGAAGAGTAGGGGAAGAGGGAGGCTTGGAGATTGGGACGGAAAGAAGGGGAAAATAAGTTAAAGGATACATAAAGGGGGGGGGAGAGAGGAAAGAATTGAGAAGAGAGAAGGGAATTATCAGGGGAAAAGCGCCAAGCCATTACGACTATATAACACTTGGAAGGGATCAGGATAAGGGTTTGGAATGGGACGGGGGATAGGACTGGTGTCCAACCACTTGGACGGTCGGGGATTGAACGCCGACCTGCATGAAGCGAGAATAATGAGAGGAGGGGAGGACGAAGACGAGGAAGTGGATGAAGGAGAGCAAAGTGGATGGGACGGAAGTATCGAATGCGAGACAGGAGTATATGAGGAGGAAGGGCATGGGTAGAGATAAACCTGAAAGAGAAGAGTAGAGAAAAAGAAGAGAAAGAGTTGGATGTACGTGAGGAAAAAGGGGCAGAATAGACGGGGCTAGCATAAGAGAGGGTGAGAAGAGGGCTGGCAGAGGGGCGCTAGTAGAAAAGAGACTAGGAAAGAGACGGTGGGAAGATAAGAAAGGAGTTGACGATTAACGGAAACTGTTGGAAGGATGAACTGTTGGAAGGATGAACTGGTGGAAGGATGAACTGGTGGAAGGATGAACTGGTGGAAGGATGAACTGGTGGAAGGATGAACTGGTGGAAGGAAAGAAGAATATGATGGGAGAGCAGGAAAAGGAGGACGGGCACTTAAGAGGAACTAAAAAGGGAAAAGATTTAAAGGTAAAATACAAAATAAAGTGTAACGATGGAAGTAGAGCGTAGGGGGGGGGGGGGGAATCGGGGCAGTGGGAGAGGCAGCGGGGAGCGTTGGGAGGACGGGTGAGGAACGTTGGACGGAAGGGAAGGTGTGGAGCGTTGAACCGGCAGGTTTGGAGCTTGGGAAGAAGGGTGGGGAACGTTGGGCGAGCAGGTGTGGGGCGTTGGGAAGAAGGGTGGGGAACGTTGGGGGAGCAGGTGTGGAGCGTTGGGCGGGTAGGAGTGGAGCGTTGGGCGGGCAGGTGTGGAGCGTTGGGCAGGTAGGCGTGGAGCGTTGGGTGGGCAGGAGTGGAGCGTTGGGTGGGTAGGCGTGGAGCGTTGGGCGGGCAGGTGTGGAGCGTTGGGCGGGCAGGTGTGGAGCGTTGGGCGGGCAGGTGTGGAGAGACTGATAGGGACGAGAATTAGGAGTAATGGTATGAAGATATTTGAAAGTGGTGGTGGATTCGTAGGGAGTGGGGAGAAGCGCCCTTATCCAAATTTCTCGTCACCGATGGTCTTGAGCCAGGTGTGTGAAGAGGACGTCACACTCAAGGAGAGCTTTTGCGGACCTCGCACTCGGGAGGACATCATACATGGGATGTCCTCGTTCTCAGGACGACCTCATACTTGAGCAATCTGTCCTCTCAAATTTTGACGTCAAAATCCCCAACGGGCAAAATTTTATTTACTATGAATCATTGTGGCTCATAAACAACCACATTTTATATATGCATGGGTACATTGTTTAGGTCTGGTCGGTCAAGTCAAGTTCGGTCAATTTTGTGTCCGTTGTGATACCTTGAGAGGACGAGCTGACTCGGGAAGGCCTCATACCTCGGGTGGACGTCATACTTAAAAGGATTTCACACTCGGCAAGGTGTCATACTCGGGATGATCTCATACTCGGAAACACCTCATACATCTTAACAATACATTGTTCTCTTGACTTGACCTAGCTTTTTAGAAATTCATTTTGACGCAAACATATCATCATTCCTGGAATATTTCTTAATGATAAAAACAGAGGAAGTCTGTAACGGGAAGGACTACCCTGAGCTATGGAATGGGAAAATTCTAAGCTTGCTGACAGATCAGGAGTCAGAACTCGTTTACACCTGCCCTCACCCCTGTAATTAAAAATCATATGAGTTATTTGAGCACTTAGTAATACATTTTTTAATACATTTTGACCAACTATAATAATGAAACCTCCTTAAGATTTATTATAATGACAGCTGTAATTGTGAATAGAATGTTTTGTTACTAGGAATATAAGAATAATTCATCATGCTTAGATCAGTTTGTAATGTAAGGAATATAAACAAATATTAAAGTATTAGTTTGGATACCCTTACCTTGAAGTGTTTCCGGGGCTTAGCGTCCCCGCGGCCCGGTCGTCGACCAGGCCTCCTCGTTACTGGACTGGTCAACAAGCTGCTCGCATCCTGGTGTATGAATCACAGCCTGGTTGATCAGGTATCATTTGAAGGTGCTTATCCAGTTCTCTCTTGAAGAACACAGTGAGGGGTCGGCCAGTTATGCATTTGCATTTGTTCGGGGAATGAACGTTGGTCACATCACACTACACATGATCTCCAGTACTGTAACCATCTACACTACACACGACCTCTATCACAGTAGCCATCTACACTACACATGACTGCCATTGCTGGATCCATACTATAAACGATCTTCACTGCATCCATGTACTCTTCAGTCGATCAATTTTGTACCATCTACACTGCACACGATCCTCATCATTTTAAACATTTTAATGTAGAAAATAATATGTTGAATTGACCATGTTGAGGACGGTGTAGGGTATATAGGGAATTAGGAATTTATGAAATCATTTATTCGCACGTGCAAATGTAATCCCAAACCCCATATGACCGTCCCTCTACACTCGTCAGTCACCCTGCAAAATTTGGCGAGGCTGGCCCGAAGCGTCTGGCCTCCAACCTTGAACAGACATTGATATATATATATATATATATATATATATATATATATATATATATATATATATATATATATATATATATATATATGTTGAATATGACCGAAAGGGTAAGATTTATAATTCTAACACGAATCTTCTCAATATTTCTTACGTTCTTCTTCACTGTCGAAGGTAAATATATATATATATATATATATATATATATATATATATATATATATATATATATATATATATATATATATATATATATATATATAACTGAAAACTCACACCCCAGAAGTGACTCGAACCCATACTGCCAGAAGCAATGCATCTGATATACAGGATCCCCTAACCACTCGACCAACCAGGCTTGTTCGCATTTGTGTTCCTCACGTGTGCCCCAAAGAATGAGGTGATTTGATAAAATACCATGCCCAAGATTACCAACAGAGTGCCGGCGGAGGGATGGGGAATTAGCCTCGGCTACCATCCTCTTTTGTCCGGTCGTGTTGGTCGAGTGGTTAAGGGATACTGTACATCAGATGCATTGCTTCTGGCAGTATGGGTTCGAGTCACTTCTGGGGTGTGAGTTTTCAGTTGCATATATGCCTGGAGACCGTTCAGGCTTGTTCACGCACATATATATATATATATATATATATATATATATATATATATATATATATATATATATATATATATATATATATATATATAGTTAAAAGTAAAGTAGATATACGACTGAACCTAACCAGCCCTACCTAACCTATCTTAACCTAACCTAAACTAACACAACTAAATCAATAATTTATGTTCTTCATATAATATTATAATAATAGTTCAAATAAACTAATTGGAAACAATATATTGAAAATAAAGAAAATCACTTGGCCTATTAGGCAATTCGGGCCTTGCATAGTTGGCCGAGAAGTGCGTTCTGGCTACTTGGTACGACATGCTTATATATATATATATATATATATATATATATATATATATATATATATATATATATATATATATATATGTCGTACCTAATAGCCAGAACTCACTTCTCAGCCTACTATTCAAGGCCCGATTTGCCTAATAAGCCAAGTTTTCATGAATTAATGTTTTTTCGTCTACCTAACCTACCTAACCTAACCTAACCTAGCTTTTTTTGGCTACCTAACCTAACCTTACTTATAAATATAGGTTAGGTTAGGTTAGGTAGGGTTGGTTAGGTTCGGTCATATATCTACGTTAATTTTAACTCCAATAAAAAAAATTGACCTCATACATAGAGAAAAGGGTTGCTTTATCATTTCATAAGAAAAAAATTATAGTAATATATTAATTCAGGAAAGCTTTGCTTATTAGGCAAATCGGGCCTTGAATAGTAGGCTGAGAAGTGAGTTCTGGCTACTAGGTACGACATATATATATATATATATATATATATATATATATATATATATATATATATATATATATATATATATATATATATATATATATATATATATATGTAATATTACCTGGAACTCCTTCTAGCTGAAAAACTTCGTAAAATATTATATTCGTCCGAAATTCAGTATAGAGGCATATGTATTCAAATCTGCCATTGGTGTTGAGGATAACGAGAAGTGGGGTCCATATTGTGGTGGGTGGCGCTGTGAGGGATGTTTTAAGTCGGGGTTTATACATTACATCTCTACCACTCCTCATACACCGGCTCCATAACCTCAATATATGCTTGCCACTTTTACCATATTGTCCCATAAAATTACAGTCAAATAAAATTGATGGGATAAAATTTATAGATGGCTGACCAGGGAGATGTGTTGGGTGTGAGAGGGAGAGAGAGAGGGGGGCAGGATATGGGGGTCCGGGAATAGGGGGGGGGGAGACGATGGTGGTGGAGGGGTTGCTGGAAGACGTTGTGGGGAGGGGAGAGGGGGACGGGTGAGTAGAAGTTGAGAAAGGAGGGTTAGGGGAGATGAACTTGAAATTTTGAAAGATGATTCTTTCCTCGTGTCGTATCTAGAGATTGCCGGACCAAGCACCAAGACTTAGCCCGAGGAAGTGCAGCATCTTGAAGGTGCTCTAGTGCTGAGCTAACATTAACGTGAGATTGTACTGTGGTAAAGAGGTAAAAAAAGCGGCGTTCGGCAGCCCGGGGGACAGACCCGGGATCAATATTCATGTGTTAGGAGAAGCGCGTGACGGATGTACGACAACTGCCGCCTCCTCCTCACGATTTAATATATAATTCCCTCGTAATGAATAGTTTAAACTAACGAGTGTGCCTTAATCATGGCCGAGGCGGACATTATGCTCCACATGCTCATTACTCACTCTCCTGCTCCCCGCTGCCCTAGATAATTTCTCGCCGCCTCTCCTGGCAACTATCACTCATCTGCCTGTTTTCGAAATTTTGGAGTTACTTGAGTGGAGATAGAGGAAGGAGGAAGCGGCACATGTACACATTGACGGCTGCTAATGTATGGAGTTAAGAGGACGAGCACCACTAGACCAGAGCCAGATGTTTGCCTAACACCAGCAACGGTCAAATGAATATTTTTCTCTCTCTTTTAGGGTAAAGTTTTAATTTAATGTTTCCCCGGAGATGGCAGCGTACATTTTGTGGTCTCTTGGGGTTCTGCTGCTAAGTGTTTAATTGTTTCTCCTGT